TTTTTTTTCCACCAAGGCCTGATGGGTGTCCCTAAACCGCCCTCCACCCATTCGAGCAACACAGAGTCAGCACTGCCCGGTATTTGCAAGGACCTGATTGGTCAATCAGTGTCACGTCTCCGTGGGTGCAGTACCACGGAGGAGAGCCTGGCTGACAGGCTGGCCTCTGATCTAAAGCTGATATATGGAGCAGTGGAAACCATATCTGACATGTACGACAGTCTGGATGATGACAGCCAAGAAAATGGTATGAAAAAAATACTAACAGGTTAAACCAATAAAATTGGAGTGTCTTTTTTATTATTTATTTCTTATTATCTTCAGTGCAGATAAGAAAAGTGTTAAGTTTTTTTTTTTGTTCTGTTCTCCTGCAGTGTTTGTGGGTAACTCCATGGCTCAGACTCAGCTGATCAAGGCTGCCACGGCCACAGAGAGTGCCGTGTTAGTCACCATGCAGTGGTTGGCCAGCATCAAACCCATCTCTGGTCAGCTCTACACCATAACTGAAGAACTTAAAGGCCAGGTGAAGAAGATGGGAGGATTCTGTCAGTTACTCATTCAGGTGATTGAACACACTGTTGTCAATGTAACTAAACTAATGGCACTTCAAAATAAACATTTTAGATTACTTGGCTAAAACAAAAAAAATAATATTTTCAGTTTTGCGTGGTTTAGACAGAGGTGGCTAATCAAAATGCGGAGCATTGATTGATGGGTCTTAGCTCTGAGCTGTTTGAGCCGTCTATGGAAATGGCCAAGCACGGGGAATTCTTATCCTTGAGCCCCAAACAGAACATGAATATATGAGACGTAAATCTAAATTCCTTACCAGCCCCAGCACCTAAACACTCAGTTTTCCCCCCTCCTGAGTTTTCATATTCTTCCATATTTTTTAATTTATTTACACCAGACATCACAGACTGTGGACTTTTTTTCTGACTTCCTTGCATTCATTCAATTCGATTATTAATTAGTTTGAGCTTTACTTGATGTCTCCTGAATCTATAATTATCTGTCAATCCAGGGCTGCGAGTCGGAGATCACGTCAATGGTGACGGAGGCACAGAGAAAGAGCAGCCAGTGCCTGAACACGGCGTTGCTAGCACTCAGCCACCTGGCGGCAGTGACATGCACACCGCTGAATACCGCGGAGCTGGGTGCCAGTGCTACAGGCAAGGTAACGGCACTATTAATACCTGAGCAGCTGCTGACTCTGAAAAGGCTTTAGGGTTCACTATAATCAAGCCCTCAGCCCACAATATCAGAGCATTAAATATTAGCAATGAAAGACGTCTGATTCTGTCTGCACATTATTTTCCTGAGTTGTTTTAAGGTGAGTGTAACACTGGGGGGCATCAGGGCAAAGACAATAATGAGGCAGAGAGAAAGTTTTTAAGAATCTCATTCCTAATGCTTTAGATGCTTTAGTTTTTCTCATGTTTTAGGATTTTTTTTTTCACTAGAAGGTTGAAGGATCTCATCCTTAATTTAATCAATTGTTTTTGATTGTGTTTGTTTATTTTCATTTATTAGAATTGTTGGCCTGCCCTATGAATAATTCAAACAATGGCCAAGGTGGGGCAGTGGTTAACATTGTTGCATCACCACTAGAAGGTTGAAGGATCTCATCCTACTTTGGCATAAGGTCCTCTCTGTGGAGTTTGCTGGTTATCCCTGTATTACCCCCCCCCCACAGAAGTGTTTCTGCCGCCAGAGACACTTAGGTTGGGGACGGTTTCTGCAACCTGAGCCTAAATTTATGGTGATTGATTAAGGGCAGAATAGACATTGGTTGGAACACTGTTTTATGTTTAGCTCCAGTCTTTGTTGTTGTATGGTAATTGTTTTCAAATGTTCATATATGCATGTAATGATACTGTAAATATTACCTTTCACTTTCTCACCGACCTGTTTTTTTCAGTCACTAGTACTGTGTGTACTGAAAGGCACCAGCAGAGGTGTTCGCTCTCTACTGGAAGAGAGCCTGACCATCACCAGGGAAATGCTGAGAGAGGCTCAGCTGGTGTATCCCAGAAATCCAGTAAGAAATCAACAGGAACTTTTTATCTTTCAAAATATTAGATGAAGTAATACTTTTAAAGCTGTTATGTGGCTGAATAATTTTGTAATTTTTAACTTATTGTTCTACTTGCAGGACCTGCAGAGTCTTAAATCCAAAGCACTTGATTCAGCTCGTGCTCTGCAGAGCTACATGCACCTGCATATCACAGTGAGTGGTGGTGTGAGAAAAAATGGAAAAAAAAAAATCTCTCCAAAGTTGACAGAAATGATTAAGTAGTTCTCATAATGTGGATATTAATCTTCATAAGAAGTAATTTTCCTGTTATTTGTGTCATGATGTTTATCCTTGAGGTTATTTTTGGTAAAAAAAAAAAATCTGTGAAAACTCTCTGTTCAAATTAAAAATTTCCAAAATATAATATGACAAATTGCATTTGCTATCAGGCATGTACAGCTTTATTACAAAATTTCTGTTTGTGTGAACCATTGCTGAGAGACAATAGAAGCCTCCAGATTAATACCCTGCCCCACAGCAGCACCGTTAAAGATGCCACTCAGCCTTTTATTGTCCCCGTAAAGCCCAGTGCACTGTGGGCTTATCTCGCCGCAGTCACCCCTCAAAGATAATTCGAGTAATGGATGTGTTGAAAAGACTGGCATCCGTCACCGCTAACGGGCCAGTTTGCGGTTATCGTAGCCACACAAGCTCGCTGTGTTTTTGTTAAAGCCGTCATTGACACATACAGACGCAGGAGCGTTTTACTGTCCACACGGTTATTAGGGTCAAATAAAGCTGAGTTATTGCTGGAAACGTGTTTTTCTAAGTGGGTTTTTTACAGAAGGTCAAACTTGTGCAGGTAAATGCATCTACTCTCATTCAGTATGAAATAATAATGGTGCCTTTTTACTTTTCTTTTTTTTTATTGTTATATATTTGCAGCTATTGTATGTTTTTTAATTGTTATATATTTGCAGCTATTGTATGTTTTTGTTTTTGAATTTAGCCTCGTCTATGTGTGTGTGTTTTACAGCAGGACAGAGACACTGACATGGAGGAGATGGAGGAAGGGGCGGAGGAAGCTGCAGCCACTCACTTGAAGATGCTAAAAACCACAGCCACCAAATTGTTCCAGCTAAACCAGGCCATTAGACAGTTACATGTCTCTTTGTCAGGCGCCCTGCGAGGTGAAGCCTGTCACAAATGCAGAAGGAAAATGTCAATGAGTTCATATTAAGAACCAGGTTCAAAAACAGGGAATTTATTATTTATTCGTTTATTTGAACAACTTTTCAAAGATGTGTAATTCTTTGATATTGTCAGGGCGTCAGTTTTAAATGTTATCCAGGTAAAGATGGCAGAGAGGAGGGAGGAACAGTAGCCTTCAGTCAGCAACAAAAGTAGTGGGAAGTTTACTGGTGTGGAAACAATTTGCAATAATTGACACAGAGGTAGATCAAAAACACGTGCAAGCTTTGTTAATCTGTGTTTCTGCGCCTTTCAACTGAAAAAGAGACAAATCTCTTTAACCAACTGTTGCATATGTGGGTTATTGTTGAAACATTTTAAATGTGGTTGCAGTATTTTTTTATACTTTGGTGTTTTGATCTGCAGTTTGAGCTTAAAAAACTGCTTTCAGAAAACCTCATTCTTGTCAAACTATGAGATTAGCATCTGCAGATCTCATTTTTCTTCCTCTGTTAATTCTCCTCCCAGGCAAAGACGGCAGCTCAAACTGGAGCAGCTGCAGAGAACTGATCTCCTCCTCTGCCAAAGCTGTGGACGAGCTGATTACAGGTTTGTCTAAGGACGGATCATCAGCGCTATCCCTGCATCTCCCCTGCCTCCAGAG